TCCCCGACCGCGTCATACCAAAAGACGTTAAAATATGGTACTTGTTGGTCCCTGCCTGGCGCTCGGCATTAATGGGTACAACAAGGACTGGTCGGCTTCGGAGTCAGTATAATGTGTCTGAGTGGGGTATTCATGCTTCACTGCGGCATGGTATCTCAGTGGGCTAGCACTATAAAAACCAGCTTAAGTCTGGGCTAGTACAAGCAGCCGCACATACACATACACACGCATGCACGTCATCATATGAGTGAATATTCTCAAGCACGACGTAAAACCCAATTTCACCTCACCTCTCAGGAAAGTATAGATTCTAGTACCTTTGGGGTTCAGTCTTAGATTTGAACCCACACCCTCGAGTCAGGCACCTAATCATTTCACACATTCTTCAGTTCTCTAACCCACTCAGCCACCGCGACCTTCCACAAAAATGGAAGTCAGTCAACTGGTGATCTAGATCACATACTTTGTGATAGGCATGGCTTCCGTGGCTGAAAGGTATACACAATGCCATTTATAAAGTGGTCAGATGCAACATTTGTTATATGTGGGATTGCCATTTCTCAGTAAAGTATAGATTCTAGTACTTTTGGCATTGAGTCCCATTGGGGAGTTGAACCCACAATCTCAGAGTCAGGCACCATATTGTCGTGACAGTCTAGTGCAGTATAGGTTAAAGATGCATAATAATAGCGGGGCAGTGGGGTAGCCTAGTGGTTAAAGTGTTTGCTCATCATGCCGAAGACCCGGGTTCGATTCCCCACATGGGTACAATGCATGAAGCCCATTTCTGGTGTCCGTCGCCATGATATTACAGGAATATTTCTAAAAGCGGCGTAAAATCATACTTACTCACTCTTAATAATAGCCTTAAAACGTCCTTGATAGTTAACCATGATACATGACGACATTCTTCTTGGTTTCTATACTACTCTTTTGTTGATATTTATATTTTAAAAATACAGAGATTCTTATATTTTGTTTATTTGGACCCTCATTGAGTGTTGTTTCCATAGTGACGATGGTAAGCCCAGACCGCAGATCTGATTATCAGAGCTTTTTTTTAGGAATGATTTCTCTCTGTGATGTTCATGACTTGGAACTTGCTTTGTTTGTCGCTGGTGAAATTCAGTTGCTAGGCAACCTTTTTAAAAGGTTTTCTTTCTTAAATAGTTAACTACTTTGCTGTGCAGTGTCTGTTGCGTCTTGTAAAAGAATCAGTTTCCAGTGTTGTGTAGTGTTTGGGAGTGCTTCTTGATTTACTGTTACAGAGTGGCATTAAGTACCACTTCAAATGGAAATGTCCTATAAATATGTCATGCACAATCATTGTTTACACTAGTTTAAAATCTACGATCCTTTAAATAACACAGTACAACAGATCATATAAATTTATGAGAGCATTTTTTCTGAAAATGACAATTTACAGAAAAAAAACCCATATAACTCAAGTAATTACTGTGTATTCTATGTTGAAGTTTGACACCATTATCATGTGGAAAGGTTCTGTATTCCATCTTTGTTTATTATTGCGATAAAGTATTGTGTTGTGTACCCCGATGACTGTCCCTGTATTTCAGTAGGACGCATGTATGAGTTTGTGATAAAGCTTGATATATTCCATCTGGCTAGAGTTATGATTGCAGAGGGTGTACATTGACAAAGAACATTGTGACATATTGATATGTATTATCAATTGAGGGAATCTGATTATGAGTAGTGCTTATTTGTATGATGAGGATTTAGAATTGAATTTATAGATTTTATGCCTACTCGCCTCTCAACCTAATATCATTTTATTGACCCCTCGGATGAAAATGGATCTAATGAAAAATACATTACAATTATTGTCATATCACGCTTCAACTGAATCATGTATTTGCCTTGAATCTGCCTCACATACATGCAATAGCTCACATTGTTTGGCAGTTCGGGTGAACATAGTGAATATGTTGTGACCTTAACACAGATTTGATCTGTGTGGACACTTGATGTGTGCTGCCTCTTCTGGGTTTTTGAATCCTTCATCTCACAGGTTGTGACTGATAGTTTATTAATCTTGTTCATGGGTTTAATAATGGTAATAACAATAATACCACTACCAACAACAACAACATCACCACAAGTACCACTAACAGCATCACCACAAGTACCACCAACTACATCACCACACCCAACATCACAACTTACCACCAACACCAACATCATCACCACAAGTACCACCACCATCACCACACCCATCACCACAAGTACCACCACCATCACCACAACTACCACTAACAACTTCACCACAAGTACCACTAACAACATCACCACAAGTACCACCAACTACATCACCACACTCAACATCACAACTTACCACCAACACCAACATCATCACCAACACCATCACCACACACTCAACATCACAACTTACCACCAACACCAACATCATCACCAACACCATCACCACAACTACCACCATCACAACATCATCATCACCAACACCATCACCACAACTACCACCAACACCAACATCATCACCAACACCATCACCACAACTACCACCAACACCAACATCATCACCACCACCATCACCACAACTACCACCAACACCAACAACATTACCAACATCATCACCATCACCATCACATCACCATCACCATCACCATCACCAACACAACTACCACCAACACCAACTACATCACCACACCCAACATCACAACTTACCACCAACACCAACATCATCACCAACACCATCACCACAACTACCACCAACACCAACATCATCACCACCACCATCACCACAACTACCACCAACAAAACATCATCACCAACACCATCACCATCACCACAACTGCCACTAACACCAACACAACTTACCACCAACACCAACAACATCACCAACATCATCACCATCACCATCACCACAACTGCCACTAACACCAACACAACTTACCACCAACATCAACAACATCACCAACATCATCACCATCACCATCACCATCACCATCACTGCCACTACCAACAACATCACCACCAACATCAACAACATCACCAACACCATCACCATCACCATCACCATCACTGCATCACCAACACCAACACAACTACCACCAACCACACACCAACATCAATCACCACAACTGCCACTAACACCAACACAACTTACCACCAACACCAACATCAGTCACCATCACAACTACCCCAACATCATTACCATCACCATCACAACTACCACAACCACCACCACAACCACAACTACCTCCACCAACAACATCACCCCCACCACCCCTGTCACCACAACTACCAACAACAACAACACCAACAGCACAACTACCACTACCACCACCACTACCACCAGTGTTTCTCTTAGTCCATGTCTTCATCATGATAAAGGATGTAGTAAGGTAGTACTTGGTGTTTATTATGGTGCACAACATATGGACAATAAAACAATGACTGCTTAACATGGTTTCAGTATACTGTAAGTGATTGTGAGGGAGTTTAGGTTTATGCCGCTTTTAGCAATATTCCAGCAACATCACGGCTGGGGACACCAGAAATTGGCTTCACACACTGTACCCATGTGAGGAATTGAACCCAGATCTTAAGCATGACAAGCAAACGCTTTAACCACTAGGCTGCCTCACTGCCCCAAGTATACTGTGATATACAGTATACAGTATTCTGTGAGGCTATGAGGATACCCAAGACTGGGCATTCTTTAGCACTGATGTTTTGTTTCCATGTTGTATCTCAGTCGTCTAGCACTATAAAACATGCATAAAACCAGACTAGTACGAGCAGCAAGCATGTCACCTGATTTCACCTCACCGGAACACTGGCTTCATGTTCTGTCAGTTGATGTGTTCATTGAGACGGTGACATACAAAATAATCATCTACTTACAAGAGTTAATCTATGACGCAAGTAAATGAAAAAAATGTTTTTCTTGCCAGATACAGAGACATGAAGTGTTGTTGATTAAAAAATCATTCTACATGGAAATTTAAAGTGATAATGTTCTACCTTATCAACAGGTTCAACAGCTGCTAGATATTTTCTGTACAAGAGAGTGTTTTTAAAATAATATTGGTAATAAAGGTTATTTTAGGCAAAACTGAATGTTTTTTGAACCTGTGCAGCCCTAGTTCTAGTTGAAGAATGGAAGTCTGTTGCCTAACGTACATAATGTTGATGTAAATACAATGTATTTATAGCCACCAGCTTGGGGCCTAGGGTTGGAGTTAACGAGTGATTCGAGTGATTCGTGTTGCAGTGTCACTTTGAACAGTGTTCCAGTTAAAGTGAACTTTATAATGGGCATGCTTATAATGAACTGATTTATATAGCTGTTATTTTTGGTTACAGCCAGTTGAAATGTGTATAATGAACTACGGTTATAATGACAATGCTTGTATGACATGGGTACGAGAAATCTGTACCGAAATGTCACGCTCACGAAAAAGAAAAGATTTTTTGCATAAAGTTTGCCTATATTGTCCATAATATAATGAAATTATCATTAGTGGTTCATTTGAGTTGAGGGGCAGTGGGGTAGCCTAGTGGTTAAAGCGTTTGCTCATCACACAGAGACCTGTGTACATGGGTACAATGTGTGAAGCCCATTTCTGGTGTCCCCTGCCATGATATTGCTGGAATATTGCTAAAAGCGGCGTAAAACCATACTCACTTTCTCATTCATTTGTGTTTGTTATAATGGTAGTTTATTGTATATCAGCGTAGTCACATGTTTTTCACTTTGTCGAAAGCCACGAGCACAAGCATTGTTCTGATGAACTGAGGAATAAAATCAGTGATCTGGATTCAAATTCATGATCATAGGTACAGCAAATTTTGATGACTTGGCCATCTCTGCTCCCATAAGTTCAATTTCATGTACATTTGAACCAATATTGTTCACTACTGCTAGTTTCTGAAATATGTTTGAACTGGACCTTAGTGAATATGGTATATATCTAAATAACAATGAAATGAAAAGTCATTCTTCTTCTCTCCAGGAAATCGTTCACTCAGATGGAAAAGCCAAGGTTATGACGTTCAGGATCCCATCCTTTGGGCAACCATCTGTCTATCATGAGGTAAGAATTCATTCATAATATTTATTTTTTCTAATTATTTTTAAGGTCAATGAAACGGTTTGATAAAGGAGTGCAACTCCTAGGGACTGATTTCATGATAAGTCAGTTGATAGATGGCATACTGTTTCAAGGGGGGTAGATTTGGGTGCTGAGATAACCTCACTCTTTCACTCTTTGCCCTTGACATTTTACTGACAAATAAAACAGAGACAATATTTACTCATTCCAACGGTTGTTTTTGAAAATAACAGAAACATACTTAAAGAATCTCGCTTGTTGTGTCCAAGGTCTTGTTGTGTCCAAGGTCTTGTTGTGTCCAAGGTCTTTTTGTACAAGCAGAGAGTCCTCTGAGACCTGCTGTCTAATATCAAAGAGAAAAAAATCACCATTTGGTAAGAATAATTTTGAGATAGATTATGTTGAAAGCCGTGTGGTTTGGTAAGATGGGAGTTCTGTGAGGAATGAGATCCTGTTTGATGAAGCAGCTCTGGCGGGTGTTCTCAGTGACAGAGATTGGCTTCATGCGGGATCAAACGCTAACTTAAGAAAGAAAAGTCTTTGGAGATGTGTTTTTTGAGAATCAGACTCAAGGACTAAGGAAATCATTTAGATGCTTTTGAATTGATGGAAAAGCAGTTGAAAATAGACATTGGATGGGTTGTATGAATGTCATGTTAAAAACCTCTTGAACACTGAGAAATGTCTTGATTGTGATTCTTTTTAGATAATGTATGTAGGCAAATTTGTTTGGGTGTTTAGAGTCAGTCGAGTGATTGGTATGAAGTCTGAGTCTAGTAGAAATCTGTTTGGTTTAGTAAACCTAGCTAAGATAGTTAATAATGAAACTGAAATGTATTGACCATAATGTGAGTGAGTGAGTTGGGTGTTATGACACTTCTCACAATATTCCACCAATCATTTTTTTAAAAAAAAATTAAAAAATATTTTTATTTCCTATCAGTATCACTCAATCATAGTGGGGACACCAGAAATGGGCTTCATACAATGAACCCTTTGTGGGGAATCGAACCCATGTCTTTGGCATGACAAGGAAATGCTTTAACCACTAGGCTACCCCACATCCCCTGGCTGCTGGGTCTGTTACTAACAAGCAAGCAAAAGTACTAAAAGTCACTTATATTTTATCCTTATGGGTGCCGTTGCATTAATGGGTACAACAAGGACTGGTGACCGTAACTCCAGTATAATTAACATAGACTTATAGCGCATAAGTATCTAGCCTTAGCGCTATAGCTTAAGTCTGGGCTCCCAAGGTTGTTTTGTACAACGGCACCATGGTCCTCACAGAGGATACATAGTCAAGTAGGCACGGTTGATGTATCCATTTTTCTTTATGCTCTACACCAGCAAAGAACCATCTGGGAAAGCGTGGCTGATGTCACCGATTTACTATTCTAGCCAATACATACGATATGTTTAGGTTGTCGGACTCAATGAAAATATAACAGCAAATAGTGAGTCCCATGTCGAACTCTGTTTGTATAGGCTGGTTTTTCCTATGTCAAGTCCCAGTTAGATGTCACAAATCACATTAGAGCTCGATGATTCCATTTGTGGTAGACTGGAGAAATAGCTATGCTGGCATTACCTGTCAAATCAAAGGTTTAGTCGGCAGTGCCAGTTCTGATGGTGATGGAATATTCCACCCAAGTTCCCTCTCCCTGCTGCCATCAAAGAGAAGACCATTTTTGTTAAGATCGCTTTGGAAGCTGATGACAGGGCGTCAGCCTCAATTACTGTTGATTGTAGAACTTTGATGAGGAATTTTTGCCTTTAATGTTCACACAGCTGTGATTCATTTTTGCTGCTATTGCAGTGGTTTGTAGTAGATTCTCTTTTTGCTTAATAAACCTGATGTCTCAAAATAAGCTGATGTTGGTTACAGAATTAGGTATTTCTTGATTGGATCTATTGCCAATTCATTATATATATTGTGGACTGTTTTCTTTTGGATGAGGTATTGGACCCATGGAGCAATGGTTAAAGTGTGGGATCATGACAAACTGAAATCATGGGTGTAACCCAGCTGTGATATTGCTGGAATATTTCTCTAAGTGGTGTACAAACTAACACTTTCTCTCTTGCTTGGCTGTTCACCCTCACTCACTCACTCATTCATATAATGTATAACCCACAGACATATATACCTGAAAAAAATCCACAAAATCTTTTCCTGATCTCAAGTGCTTAGGGGTCTTTTGTTGATGTCAGCTTGCTTGCTCGCTCACTCACTCACTCACTCACTCACTCACTCACTCACTCACTCACTCACTCACTCACTCACTCACTCACTCACTCACTCACTCACTCACTCACTCACTCACTCACTCACTCACCCTCACATTGTATACTGATCAAGAGCATGTTACAGTGTCCAGAGGTTGGATACCATGTACTTTGAGAGCCCAGGGACACCTTATTTTTCAATAATTTGGTTATGGCAGCGCCCCCACGACTTCCAAGCCTAAATGCGAAACTGACACAGTTATGAAAACCATGTCTCATTTGAGAAAACTACTAACTGCAGATGAATGCTCAACTAATTCACTCAATGGATCGAACTGAAGTATGAAATATGTCTCCATGGGCAATCTTAATTTACAAATGCGTACCTCCACCGATGTTCCCCGACAAGCCACTTGACAGTGATGAGATGAAAGCATGTGACCAGACTTCCATTATCTGCCTCGATATGGCAGGTCAGGAAGACATGACACATCTCATGCTCATACCTTTAATAGGAGTTGGTTTGAGGTATTTTAAGATTCCTGTCTTTTATTTACGGCTGACATTTGATCTCCTGTATTCGCTCATGAGGAAGCAGTGGCAAATTTAATGGGCTACTGAGTCCTGGCTCGGATAAGTGCTTACATAAGAATGGCTGCAAAGAAGTAAAACATTCATCTTGTTAGATGCACAAAGATTTAGCATAAATACATCAATTTGATGACGATTTGTATCTGTGTAGTTGGTGTGTTTTGGTGACATGATGTTTGCACATTTGTGGGAAATATATGGGTATTACTAAGGGACAGCACTCCGCCATTTTGATCTGAGACATTGTAGCCAGTGAGTTGTGTGACCTGAAACATTGTAGCCAGTGAGTTGTGTGAACTGAGACATTGTAGCCAGTGAGTTGTGTGACCTGAGACATTGTAGGGAGTGAGTTGTGTGACCTGAGACATTGTAGCCAGTGAGTTGTGTGACCTGAGACATTGTAGCCAGTGAGTTGTGTGACCTGAGACATTGTAGCCAGTGAGTTGTGTGGACTGAGACATTGTAAACAGTGAGTTGTGTGAACTGAGACATTGTAGCCAGTGAGTTGTGTGAACTGAGACATTGTAGACAGTGAGTTGTGTGAACTGAAACATTGTAGACAGTGAGTTGTGTGAAACACACATATTGTAGCCAATGAGTTGTGTGAACTGAGACATTGTAGCCAGTGAGTTGTGTGAACTGAAACATTGTAGACAGTGAGTTGTGTGAAGTGAGACATTGTAGACAGTGAGTTGTGTGAACTGAGACATTGTAGACAGTAAGTTGTGTGAACTGAGACATTGTAGCCAGTGAGTTGTGTGAACTGAGACATTGTAGCCAGTAAGTTGTGTGAACTGAGACATTGTAGACAGTGAGTTGTGTGAACTGAGACATTGTAGCCAGTGAGTTGTGTGGACTGAGACATTGTAGCCAGTAAGTTGTGTGAACTGAGACATTGTAGACAGTGAGTTGTGTGAACTGAGACATTGTAGCCAGTGAGTTGTGTGAACTGAGACATTGTAGCCAGTGAATTGTGTGAACTGAGTGATTGTAGACAGTGAGTTGTGTGAACTGAGACATTGTAGCCAGTGAGTTGTGTGACCTGAGATGTTGTAGCCAGTAAGTTGTGTGAACTGAGACATTGTAGCCAGTGAGTTGTGTGAACTGAGACATTGTAGCCAGTGAGTTGTGTGAAGTGAGATGTTGTAGCCAGTGAGTTGTGTGACCTGAGACATTGTAGACAGTGAGTTGTGTGAACTGAGACATTGTAGCCAGTGAGTTGTGTGAACTGAGAGATTGTGGCCAGTGAGTTGTGTGAACTGAAACATTGTAGACAGTGAGTTGTGTGAACTGAGACATTGTAGCCAGTGAGTTGTGTGAAGTGAGATATTGTAGCCAGTGAGTTGTGTGAACTGAGACATTGTAGACAGTGAGTTGTGTGACCTGAGACATTGTAGCCAGTGAGTTGTGTGACCTGAGACATTGTAGCCAGTGAGTTGTGTGAACTGAGACATTGTAGCCAGTGAGTTGTGTGAACTGAGATATTGTAGCCAGTGAGTTGTGTGAACTGTGAAATTGTAGCCAGTGAGTTGTATGAAACGGAAGCATTATAACCAGTGATTTGAGCGAACTGAGATATTGTAGAGAGTGAATTGTGTGAAACAGACACATTGTAGCCTGTAGGTTGTCTGAACTGAGACATTGTGGCCTGTGAGTTTTGTGATCTGTGAAATTGAAACCAGTGAGTTGTATGAAACGGAAGCATTATAACCAGTGATTTGTGTGAACTGAGACATTGTAGCCAATGAGTTGTTTGAATTGAGACATTGTAGCCAGTGAGTTGTGTGAAACGGACATATTGTAGCCAGTGAGTTTTGTGATCTGTGAAATTCTAGCCAGTGAGTTGTATGAAACGGAAGCATTATAACCAGTGATTTGAGCGAACTGAGATATTGTAGAGAGTGAGTTGTGAGAACCAGAAACATTGTAGACTCATTGTAGGTAGTGCACTGTTTGAAAATGAAACACTAATTTGTACACAATGCCTTCTGTGTGACTTCATCATGACACTTCACTGTATTGAATGGAAACATTGTAGTTAATGTCTTGTGCCCCCTTTTTCAAGTTTCACTCTGTAAGGATCTAGCTTCAATTCCTGATATAGTTACAATATATAAAGCTCAAACACTTATTCCTGCTAAAATCAACTGTTACACTGTGTTTCCCTCCCTACCCCCACAAAAAGGTAAATATAATGAGTTGTAGGTCTGACATTTTTTACAACCTAAATCAATTTGCCATTCTTAAAAACATCGGCTCAGTTTTTCATCTTATTCATCTGAAACTTTGGGGAACAAGTGAGTCCTCAAGAGTGCCATACAGATAGAACCTGGTAAAGGGCTGTGGTAAAGTGGTGAGGATGTGACATTAGTGTTTAAATGAACCAAACCCGGGGGATCCAGGCAGAGGCGGTGCCCTCAACCTCATGGCGCTGACTGTGAATTGAGGTCTGGAGGTCACAATGCCAGATGATTATAGTTCTTGCTACACATCATGTATTTTCTGCTCGGTGTCAACTGTAGATTTCATTTGAACCTGTTCACTCGTGGACTGGTTGCTGCTTTGTAGAAATGACATTTTAATTTCTATTGAATTCACAGTTTTTGTGCGACAACATTTTTAAACTGGCAGTTATCCACAGATTGCCTCCAAGGCCAAGATGATAGAGCATCTTCCTGGAGATGACCTTACTTCTCTACATTGGGCCTGTTATCAGCATTATACCAGCTAGCATGACAAATGATCCTGTTAGTTATCCCTTATGAGTGAGTGAATTAGTTTAGTTTAACGCCACTTTTAGCTATATTCTAGCAAAATCATTACAGGAGATACCAGAAATGGGCTACACACATTGTACCCATGTGGGGAATCAGACCCGGGTCTTCAACCTGATGAGCAAAATTGCTTTATGTTGCGTTTACACAAGGCCATGATCAGGCTACCATGGCCACGATTCGGATTTAAAAAAAAATCGTAACTCATCTCATAAAGCGTGAGAGATTGCAGATCCAAATCGTGGTAATTGTAAGAGATCATGCGGCATCTTGATAATCGTGGCAAAATATTAAACATGTTTAATATTTTACCAGGATCATGCCGATTTTTTTAGCTATCGTTTCAGAACGTAGTAATGCTTAGTAGAGTGTGGGCATCGGAACAAATTGTATAAGAATGTGAGAAAGCCTGAAAAAGCGCAATGGAGCGTGTCGGGATGATCGTAATATATCTTAATATTGAGTATGAGATGTTAGTTTCCATTGTCCCACGATTCTACCAAGATCTATTGCGATTATATAAAGATCTATTATGATTCTATTAAGATCCCCTGTGCTGTGTCATGTTGTACACAATCTATCTCGATATAATCAGCGTTTTAAATTCCCGCCTACCCGACCGCCCGGAATGGTCTATTTTCATCTCGGACGGTCAAATTTCAAAAGTAGCCTGTCCGGTGGTCTGGTAGATGTTTTTACCCCTAACAGGAAATATTTCATAATATCAGACAGGTTCTCTTGTGACCTTGTCGTCAGTTTGAGGTGTTTAAGGTATTATGATAATTATGTTAAACTATTTAGGATTGGGCAGTTCATTTTACAATAACCAATCACAACACATGTACTTTCAGTTTGCCTAAACTCGATACATTGCCTGTTAGTGCTATGTTGTTCATTGCGATGCCTACAAACAGTAAAGTGTTCAGAAACCTGATTTTTTGGTTTTGTTTTTCATTGTTGAAAACCGGACAGGCAAGTTTGTATACAGACTGGTAATTTTTTAAAGTTACCAGTCCGGCTGTCTGGCTGTCTGGCTTGGATTTTTTTGAGTTTTAAATTCAATTTAAATTCAATGAATTTCTATGAACTTATTAACACGCTGTACCACGAATAACTTCCACGATCTATCATGACCCATCACGATCTATTACACTCCCTTGTGCTGCGACACGTTCTGGTGCGTTTGGTGTGCTTTCCTATTAACTGTGTCACACTGCCAGACGAAATTCATTGTGATCCAACTGCAAGCCATATCACACTATTTTATCGTCATTTTCATTGTAGAATATAGGAGATGGGATTGAAAAAGGGCAAGGGCAAAGGAAAGGGCTCTAAAATAACTCATGATGTCCGAGTATCGTGTCACAATCGTGTTTAATTGTCCCTTCTTTGGGTACAATATGTCTAATACAGAAGGTAAGTCTTTGTCTAAACAGAAGGTAACAAAAAGTAGCTGATCGTTATGAACGTCTCAAAACATAAGAAATCGCAGCAGATCGTGATGATCGTAAAAAGTCGCTACAGATCGTCAAATATTCGCAACAGGTCTCCATTGAAGTGTAACTAATCGTAAGAATGCGTAACAGATCCAATCAGAGCTTATGAAACCGTGAAAGACCGTCAAGAAAGGGAAAAATAAACAAAATGTTCCACGATCATGAAGATCTACTACGATATTTGGTTTGCGTTGGGTCAGCCTAACCATGGCCTAGTGTAAGCGCAGCATTAACCACTAAGCTATCCCATCGCCCCAATTGCCCTTATGACAAGCCTTGGATGCTGGAGGTCAGTTCTAGCATACTTCTAGCATAGTTCCAGCTTAAGTTCTGGTGATAATGCAGCTATCAGTTTACCTAATGTGATACTCATACCATCAAGTTCAGTGGAACCAAGCCTGTAATGACATAATTGCATATTTCATACTGTGGTGCTCATACTATCAACCCATTTTTTATGGAACCAAGCCTGTATTTTAGCTACTTGTTGTGACATAACTGTGTGCTCATACTATCAACTATTGGTTCAGTGGAACCAATCCAGTAACACACCATTTGAGACGTGACTTGTTTGGCATAGCTAATATATCGAACAACTTGTCTTCACCTGCCAACTCACTTTTTGCCCTTTTGCATTTATCTGAGTCTATATGTCAACCTCTGTAGGTGTGTATTGTGTGTACAGCCTGTCCACCTCTCTATGTGTGTATCGTGTGTACAGCCTGTCCACCTCTCTATGTGTGTATTGTGTGTACAGCCTGTCCACCTCTCTATGTGTGTATTGTGTGTACAGCCTGTCCACCTCTCTATGTGTGTATTGTGTGTACAGCCTGTCCACCTCTCTATGTGTGTGTGTGTACAGCCTGTCCACCTCTCTGTGTGTGTGTACAGTCTGTCCACCTCTCTATGTGTGTGTATTGTGTGTACAGCCTGTCCACCACTCTCTATGTGTGTATTGTGTGTACAGCCTGTCCACCTCTCTCTATGTGTGTGTCGTGTGTGTACAGCCTGTCCACCTCTCTATGTGTGTGTCATGTGTACAGCCTGTCCACCTCTCTATGTGTGTATTGTGTGTACAGCCTGTCCACCTCTCTATGTGTGTATCGTGTGTACAGCCTGTCCACCTCTCTATGTGTGTATTGTGTGTACAGCCTGTCCACCTCTCTATGTGTGTATCGTGTGTACAGCCTGTCCACCTCTCTATGTGTGTATTGTGTGTACAGCCTGTCCACCTCTCTATGTGTGTATCGTGTGTACAGCCTGTCCACCTCTCTATGTGTGTATTGTGTGTACAGCCTGTCCACCTCTCTATGTGTGTATTGTGTGTACAGCCTGTCCACTTCTCTTTGTGTGTATTGTGTGTACAGCCTGTCCACCTCTCTCTATGTGTGTATAGTGTGTACAGCCTGTCCACCCTCTCTATGTGTGTGTTGTGTGTACAGCCTGTCCACCCTCTATGTGTGTATTGTGTGTATTGTGTGTACAGCCTGTCCACCTCTCTATGTGTGTATATTGTGTACAGCCTGTCCCCATCTCTCTATGTGTGTATTGTGTGTACAGCCTGTCCACCTCTCTATGTGTGTATCGTGTGTACAGCCTGTCCACCTCTCTATGTGTGTATTGTGTGTACAGCCTGTCCACCTCTCTATGTGTGTATTGTGTGTACAGCCTGTCCACCTCTCTATGTGTGTATTGTGTGTACAGCCTGTCCACCTCTCTATGTGTGTATTGTGTGTACAGCCTGTCCACTCTCTATGTGTGTATTGTGTGTACAGCCTGTCCACCTCTCTATGTGTGTATTGTGTGTACAGCCTGTCCACCTCTCTATGTGTGTATTGTGTGTACAGCAATTCCACCACTCTATGTGTGTATTGTGTGTTTCAGCCCAGCAATCTGAGCACACTGACACTGACCGAGAGTGCCCTCTCTCGCTACAACCAGAGCCAGGAGACATGGAAGAGTGGCCCCTACCCTCAGTATGAAAGTGTCAACGGTCAGAACAGGTGAGTGACCAATCTTACCACTGATCATTAGGGGAGAATAGTTGGACTGTAAAAGGTATCATCAGTGGATCTCCCAGTGAAGATCCATTGAACTTTTAGCGGAACAGCATTGCAGTCCATTGAACTTATAGCAGAACAGTTAAACATGGCCAAACTTGGATCTCTTTGAATGGATGTTGCCCTTACTACTTCTCTTGCCAGATTAGATGGACCTTCAGAGTTGCCATACATTGAACCTTTAACAGAGTAATTTGTCTGTAAATTCTTTTCATCTCTTGGATTTCCCTCAAGTAGATGTGTCATCAAGGTTGCCCTTACTACTTCTCTTGCCAGAGTAGATGAACCTTCAGAGTTGCCATACATTGAACCTTTAACAGAGTAATTTGTCTGTAAATTCTTTTCATCTTTGGATTTCCCCAAGTAGATGTGTCATCAAGGTTGCCCTTACTACTTCTCTTGCCAGAGTAGATGAACCTTCAGAGTTGCCATACATTGAACCTTTAACAGAGTAATTTGTCTGTAAATTCTTTTCATCTTTGGATTTCCCTTAAGTAGATGTGTCATCAAGGTTGCCCTTACAACTTCTCTTGCCAGAGTAGATGGACCTTCAGAGTTGCCATACATTGAACCTTTAACAGAGTAATTTGTCTGTAAATTCTTTTCATCTCTTGGATTTCCTCAAGTAGATGTGTCATCAAGGTTGCCCTTACTACTTCTCTTGCCAGATTAGATGAACCTTCAGAGTTGCCATACATTGAACCTTTAACAGAGTAATTTGTCTGTAAATTCTTTTCATCTTTGGATTTCCTCAAGTAGATGTGTCATCAAGGTTGCCCTTACTACTTCTCTTGCCAGAGTAGATGGACCTTCAGAGTTGCCATACATTGAACCTTTAACAGAGTAATTTGTCTGTAAATTCTTTTTTCATCTTTGGATTTTTCTCAAGTAGATGTGTCATCAAGGTTGCCCTTACTACTTCTCTTGCCAGATTAGATGAACCTTCAGAGTTGCCATACATTGAACCTTTAACAGAGTAATTTGTCTGTAAATTCTTTTCATCTTTGGATTTCCTCAAGTAGATGTGTCATCAAGGTTGCCCTTACTACTTCTCTTGCCAGAGTAGATGGACCTTCAGAGTTGCCATACATTGAACCTTTAACAGAGTAATTTGTCTGTAAATTCTTTTCATCTCTTGGATTTCCCTTAAGTAGATGTGTCATCAAGGTTGCCCTTACTACTTCTCTTGCCAGAGTAGATGGACCTTCAGAGTTGCCATACATTGAACCTTTAACAGAGTAATTTGTCTGTAAATTCTTTTCATCTCTTGGATTTCCCTTAAGTAGATGTGTCATCAAGGTTGCCCTTACTACTTCTCTTGCCAGATTAGATGAACCTTCAGAGTTGCCATACATTGAACCTTTAACAGAATAATTGTAATGGGTTCTTTCTGAATTTCACATTATCCCTTTTGAGGTTAATTACACATTGTTTAATGCAAATATTGTTTAATATTTCAACAAAGCTGTGATTATTCATTTTTCGTGAAAATTCTTGATTACTGAGAATGTACACAGCTGTGTTGCATTTACAGTTGCAATAATGCCGGTTTGTCTGATAATATTACCTTGAGTATTAGGACTAAATGCTCAGTGTCCCTGGTTAAACAGTTGTTTCCAGTTACTGACTGATGTTTTTATCGGAGATCATATCAAACAAAATGTCACAGCTCTTCAATATTCTTGCAACTGTTTTCCTGTAATAAAGTCCCATTTTGACTGAGAACGGAAGGTCGTGGGTTCGATCCCCAGGCCCCATCATACCAAAATACATTAAAATATGGTACTTGTTGGTCCCTGCCTGGTGCTCGGCATTAATGGGTATAACAAGGACTTGTCGGCTGGGAGTCAGTATAATGTGTCTGAGTTTGGTATTCATGCTTAACTGCGGTATGGTATCTCAGTGAACCAGCACTATAAAACCAGCAGCTAGTACAAGCAAGTACACGCTATCATATTAGTACAAGGTCACATGCAACCAAAAATCAAACATAATTAAAACACAATTATCCTTATTCATGACATATAATATACATTGCTGGTTATGAAAAAAACATATGAACAAAAATTATAAGCCGCATAACGTGCAATATTGTGTACTTGGGTTTCATATGAGCGGGATACCGAAAGTATTGCACTTAAGTACAATGTTAAGCCCCATTTCACATCACCTCACCTTACCCATTTTGACAGATGTCCGTTCTACTACAACTAATGTCAATCCTGTTTCTTTGCCAGCCAGTCCAGAATTCATTTTTGCCTTTTTGAATGGCAGATGACCCATTTTATATTAGTGTGTTTTCATAGAATGAATCAGATATTTTATTCTGTATCAATTTACATAATCATTAAAATCAGGCATGTACTTAGTTGTCCATACTGTTACTGTTCTGGTTCATTCAACTTTTGAACCTGTGATGATCCAGATCAGAATTAGTCTTTGGTAACCCATGCTTGTCGTAAGATCGAGGCATCGCTGACTTGGTTGACACATGTCATCGTATCCCAGTTGCTTTGGTTGATGCTCATGATGTTGATCACTGCATTGTCTGGTCCAGACTCAATTATTTACAGACCGCCACCATACAGCTGGGATATTGCTGATTGCGGCTGACCCGTGAAGATCCGGGGTAGAATAGGTCTTCAGCAACCCATGTGCTTGTGCGTAAGAGGCGACTAACTGGGATCGGGTGGTCAGACTCGCTGACTTGGTTGACACATGTCATCGGTTCACAATTGCGCAGATCGATGCTCATGCTGTTGATCACTGGATTGTCTGGTCCAGACTCTATTATTTACAGACCGCCACCATACAGCTGGGATATTGCTGAGTGCGGCGTAAAACTAAACTCACTCACTCACTGATTGTGGCATTAAACAATCAACCATACAACGTTTACCAGACGAAACATCCATTAAATGATATAATATTATGTGAAAATATATTTGTTCATATTGTTTTTGTTCCTTTGAAAATTACACTCTTCTTGAAATTGACTCATATGCACTGGGCATATTATAGATTGAATCACAAACAGATGTAGCTAGAACTTATGTGACTGAATCCTTTGAACATTTCATATTGATCATGATCTTGTTGAAAGCGTGAAAATATCAGTCATTTTAAAAGTATAACATATTTTCATTTACAGTCAGAAGAAATCATGACAAATGAAAAAATCATGACAAATGACAAAAAATTCTGTTTGAAGTGTTTGAACTTTATTTCCTTCAAACCTTGAAAAATATAGGCTGTAACTGGCACTTATTGTGTCATAATAACAGTTTTGGGGTTTGATTCATGCAAGAAAGTCTTTTTTGTAAAAGATTAGTTACTAATCAAAAATGAAATCTTGGTTTTCCTGAAGATGAATTCATCTTGTTTGCCATAAAAAAGTAGAGACTTTTGCAGTTATTTCTGATTCATGCAAGTCCAAAGTCTTTTCGAGATTATTTCATGATATTGTCAGCAGCACCAGTGACGCATCAAAATCACCCACTCACTCACTCACAGTGTCAGCTGGTTTTGCTAGTTCAAACTGATGTCATGGAACTCTTAAAGGCAAATCTCCAGATGAAGGATTGAGCCAAAATGCTTTTAAGCATTGCAAGAAACTGATGATAATGCAAGCATTAGCTATATTAAATAAATGTTAAGAGTATGTTGATGAAATGTAGAAGAAAATAATGATATGTAGTATAATAAATAATAATTTTGAACTTTGAGTTTCATAACAAGGTTACGGTAGAATTAATTGAAGGAGACTGTCTTGTGTTTAAGATGGTTGAAAAAATTGGGAGATATATCGGAATCAATCAATGTTGATATGATAATAATGAATGTGTTGTGAGTGCAACACCACTTGCACTTCCATTGATGTACACAATTGGGATATGATGACATGTGTCAACCAAGTCAGAGAGCCTGACCACCTGATCCCATTAGTTGCCTCTTACGACTATCATGGGTTACTGAAGATCAATTCTAACCCGGATGTTCACGAGTCTGAAGTGACTAAATTGTCAGGTTATTGGTGTTTTGCTGAATTAAATGTAATTAGATCCTAATGATTTAGATAGGTGTTCACAATATCCATCACTAGCCATCTGGTCCAGACTCGATTATTCATAAGTCTCCATCATGTAACTGGAATATTGCAGAGAGCAGTGTTACAATATAAGTTGTTCACTGGTCATGAGGGGGACGTGGGCTGATGTACGTACCCTCGGGGTTTGTTTATGTTCCCTGAGCCGCGAGGGACCAGTGAACAACGTATATATCTTACCGAACACCTCAATGGTAATTTTGAAGTGTTTGAAGCATGGGTATCAGATCATAGTATGGAGTACCAGACGACAAGAAAAACAAATTTAGAGTTATCTCCCTTCCATCGATTTGCATTCACAAAACATCGGTAATTTCGGTACATCATACGTGATTCAATGTTATTCAAGATAAAAATTACTACTACGAAGTACCATATGAGTTCGGCATTCCCGGCGGGGTACATAGAAAATGTTACTCGCTTGTAAGTGGGGTACATTGAAAATAATAGAAGCGAACTCAGCCAATCCGAAAACGACATTTATGTGTGAGGCAAGATAAAACTTGATTATCCTTATTAAATAGAAACACTGGAAGTGTTCATCGTCTCTCATTCATTGCTTTGTAATTTCTACTCTGCTGCTGACAGCTTGTAATGAGTAATAGACACGGGGTTTTCAAAAAACATATTTAGGAAGTAGTTTTACCGAGAAATGACACAGTTTCAATGTGTTTTGTAATAATCATCATCATTAGTTGACGCAGTGTATTTTACGGTAACATTATATGATAAACTCTTTAGCACTAATGTGTCTCTTTAGCACTAATACATCTGTTTTCTGAAAATGATGCATTTTTACTTTGTAAGAGCCAATTGTGTAAGCAAATGTCGCATGTCA